ATACAGATGGAATAGATGGCTCTTTTTTCTACTTCTTGTTGTAGGAGCTTTCAGGAAATACAGAAACATTTCCAAGACTGAAATCACAGTGGCCAAACTAAGGAAACGTGAGGTTTAAACATATTTCAGTATAGCTCCCAGACAGGGGAATGCAATATACTTGGTTGGATAATAGCATGTGTGAGAAGAAATTTTCAGTGATCACAGGTTGAATGAGAGTTGACAATATGAGATATCTGCCAAAGAGGGTACACCTATACACAGATAGAATAATAACTTTATTCTATTCTACACTGTCAGATTCTACCTCTAGTGCTATGTCCAATTCTGGGCACCATACTCTAAAAAAGGATTCAGACAAACTGAAAGAGGGAAATGAAAGTGATCATGGGACTAAAAATTGAGAAAGAATGAGGAAACTGGAAATAGTTATCCCCGAGAAGAGAAGACCAAGAGAAGATATGATAGCACTTTTCAGGTACTTTGGAGGGGTATCAGAGAAGACCACAACTTGCTCTTTATCATCCCAGAATACAGACATGGAAAAATAGTCTTAAATTACAAGAATGCAGATTTTGGTTCAGTGATAGAAAAAATGGTTTATGAATAAGAACAGCTGAAGACTGGAATCAATTATCAAAGGAAGTTATAGCATCCCATTCAAGTAATACAGTATCTACAAGCAGAGGTTGGGCAGACATTTGTTGAGGATACAGTCTTATACTGAGTAGGCATCTAGACTAAATAACTCCTTCCAATTGTATTATTTTAACTTTCTTAGCAAATTCTTGCTCCTGTCAACCCACTCTTCCAGCCTGTTCTGGGACCTGAATGAGACCACAGAAGATAGTTCTAGTTTGGACTCAAAGAAAAGTACATTTCATAAAAACTAGTAAAAAAGGGAAAGCAAGGATTATGGATGGTCCCGACCCTCTAAAGTTCCAAACCATCATAGACTGACTTTGCATGTATCATACCACATTGTGATAGTTCGAGAAATAAAGAACAGAATACAGGCATTAGCTTTTACTTAACCATTCAAAGAAAATTAAGAGGAAACTTCTCGTGCTGTATTCCTTAAGCACAACCAAGCTGATAACAGGCAAAATCAATGATAACAGCTTTGTTGACTTTTTTTTTTTTTTTTTT